GCCTACAGTATTTTCACAGTATTTATTTTACAGTTAAAATAAATGTTTATCAAATAAAATTTAATGTTACAACTAATTGCGAATCCCTTTAACACGTGATCATCACAGTACTGTGTACAAGTTTTAAGTAAAGTCACATTTCTCCGGACACTGCTGTTCAGAAACAAAACCATGTTTGTCCACGTTTTGTCTGTTAAATGTACAAAAATATCCAAAGATAAAACTATTTACAGGCATCAAACAGAAAAATTAAAGGATGATTCATTTTTCAGTTTGTGTATCTTTGCTTTTTTTAAGAACATGACTGAATACTGTTAATAAGCTGACACTTATTTTGTCRTCTAAAATAGCTATTTTATGCCTGTTAAATTGCATCTTAAGTATCATTTTTGGTAACTTCAGCTAAAAATCTGATTAATCATTCAAATCTGYGATTCTGATAAATTAGTGATTATTAAGCATTGTGACACTTTCTTCAAAATACTGTTAACACAAGTTATAGCTGAAGACCTGTTCAAAACTAAACATATATTGTTGTTGTTTTTTATGCAAATGAGTTTAAAAAAAAAAAAAGCCTGTGAGGAGATTTGTGCATACTCATTTCTCTTTCTTTCTTTAAGGGCAAATAAAGGACGAAACATGACCAAAGTGGTTCAAGATTTCTTGTGGGCTCAGAAGGTCCAGGAGCCCATTGCCTTGTTTTCTGACTGGCTTTATGTCGGCCATGTTGATGAATTCATGACTTTTGTTCCTGCACCTGACAGAAAGGTTAATAAAGTTAAAACAATAAAAAATAATATTTTTTAGGTATTGTGCCAACATATTCTGCTAGAATGTTTTTGATGCAATAATTCAGTAAATTTGTGGAACATCACTAGTAAAATGAAGATTTGACCCCCCTTTATCTCTTCATCTGATTCCAGGGCTTTCGRCTGCTGCTGGCCAGCCCAGACGCAGGCTACAAACTGTTCCGAGGTTTATACAACGACGGACATGGAAAAGCCAAACTGTTTGATGGTACAGTAAGAATGTTTGGAAAATGTGTGCATCTTAGCGTGCCATAGTCAAACCTTCCCTTTCTTCTAAAAGGTCTGGAAAATCAGGAGCCAGTGACTGTGGAGCAGATACTTGGTGATGAATCTCTTCGAGCTGAAAATAACTACGTACAGGTGAGCAGGAATCTAAAGCACTTCCTTTGCACAAGCACACATGTGTCATTTAGTAGGCGGAGCTTGTTGCTAGTTCCAACTCAGGCCGTACAAACAAAACTGATTTCCTGCTTTGGTACTTAAAATACACTCAGATTGTAAAATACAGATGATCTCAGCTCAGCTTCAGTTTAACTACATTTAAGTTTGTTATTTATGTGTTGCAGTGTTGTGTCACACTAACGTTTTAGACAACTTATGCTAATTTATGAAAATTTTAAAGACATCTACCTTGTAGATGGAATAAAAACATCAAGGCTCTTTTAGGTGTGTACATACTGTAATGCTAACAGATTGATCAAATATCTAACTTTTATTAGTAATTTGGACATAAAAAAATGTTCATGAATTGGCATGGTATAAAAAGTTATAATGTTGCAGGACCTTAAGCGCAAAAATTAGGATTAGACGATTTTTGGCTACAAATTAAATTATAGTTAGAAATGTTGGTAAGCAAGTCTGATCTATTTAAATCCTCACCTCTTCAACAGGGATRTTACATCTGTATCAAACAGAGTAAGACTTGAAATTAATGCTTTTAGGTGTTAAAATATAATGAGTGTCAAATATAAATATCAGTAGTCCTTTTTTTGTTGCCAAAATTTATTGGCCTTGTTTCTGTTCATTACAGAAAACTTCTTGTTTTAAAGACCTGATCAATGCACCTTGTTTTTTTATAGTTTATCTTTGCTCTCAATTAAAATGAAAACAAATGTTTGCATAATTACGCAGGAGATTGTCACTCTGTGTAAAACGTTGCTGAGTCAGAGCTGCTTGCTTAAATAAGGTCGACTCAGATATTTCAGGTTTGCATTTATATTGTGACATTTGTTTTAATCAGAGCTGCATTGACTGGAACAGAGATGTCCTGAAGAGAGAGCTGGGCCTGGATGATGATGACATCATTGACCTGCCSATCCTTTTCAAGATGGAACTGGATAACCGAGAATTCAGAGCAGTGGCTTACTACCCTGACATGGTGCGCTTTACTTGTTTTTTTGTTTTTCCAGATTAGATCGTTTTTTTTTCAGATTCAGTTTATAAGTTTGGAAGAACTGGAGGTGTTGTTAAAGGGATTCCTGATTAGTTGTAACATAAGACTTTATTTGATATACAAACATTTTAACTGTAAAATAAAGACTGTAAAAATACCGGAGATTGTTTAGTTTTGTAAATTTTAAAAAATGTATTTTAACACAGACGGAGCCATTTTATTTACACACAAAGCATTCTGGGTAAATGATGTGGCCAGGTCCTTGGTGTGAGCGAGCTATATCCACCCTGAAGGTTAATCTTGGACAATATCTGATGATCGACTCTTTTAAATGAAACCAGAGAGCGTTGACAG